CATGGCAATGAGGATGCATTGCTCAATTTGAGGTGTATAATTTATGGATAGTTTTGTCATCTAAGCCGACTCCTGGGTTTTCATTTGTGTGGTGTCAACTTTAAGCCGATACAAAATCTAAGCCAAAACACAATTTAAAACTAGCCAAAAACCAGCTCCATCAAGTTTCTGTCACAAATACTGCTGTCAGGAAATAGGTTAGATGGGCTGAGATAATGTCCAACACATGGGCCACTTGAGGTAAGTTAGGTTGGTTACCTGCATGGTTGGCAACAGTGGCAATTATAGTCAGAGTCAGTGACTCACAACTGCTTCTAGCATATAAGTAGGCTAGCCAGGTCGAGATGGGGTAACGCTTCTTTGGGTCAGGCTAAGTAAGCCTGCTTTCATGGAAGTAAAAGAAGACGTTTTGCAACAACAGTGACATATTGTTTCCTGACCCAATCTCAATGAAAGCCAATAGGTGCTGTTTGTTTGATTTGCTGGTGTGTTGATGTACAGGAGTCCACGAGTCAGGAATACTTTATGATTGTTGAATTTCGTCACACGTTCCTCGACTCCAAACTAAACCTCCAGCATGCAACATCATGTATTTATGTATTGACAGGAATTAACAAGGCATTCAGAGTTAAATATTAGGATGCGTAACAGCCAGCTGTGGATTTTGGTAATGAACCGGTGATGGGACAAAAAAAAATGAGGGAGCCAGAATGCATTTTTTCATGAGCATGTATTAGTGACACTCATTGCTTACAATGGTTTCCACTTATTGCTTGTTATTATTGGTTTCCACTTATATTATGAGTTGGACATCCCTTAATCATGTGCAGTTTATTGCAGGTGCCTAGGTCGTAAGGCCTCAGGCGCTTACGAGATCGCCTCGGGTGACTGCAGGCATAAAGAGTACAGTATCACCACAAGACACATGCACACTCAAAAGAAAAACAACTATTTCTTTGCCATAATATTTCTTAGTACGACGTCAATTTGCAGCGAGCTAGCTTCATTGAGTCGTGTCCATCAGACGCGGTATGGCAAAACCCCGGCGGGCGATCCAGCGCTGACCACTACCACGCCACCTCGCCTGGGGCGGGGGCCGGCAACCAAGCGGCACCAACGCCGGCGGCTCGGCCGGCGGAAGCCTCTCCGACGCGCCGCGCGCGTACCGCCACCGTCTCACAATGGCGCCGCCGCCGAGAAAAGCCGGAGCCGACGAGGCTCCGGCTCCGGCCCCGGTCCGGGCGTGGGATCGGCCCGCCCACGGCGCTGTTGTTCGGTCGGCCTTTGTAATGTGACCCCGTGACTGAGACGCCTCGCGTCGACCCCTCGCCACGGGAAAGGGCGGTCTGCGGACAGGTCAGGGGGGGGGGGGTGACCAGCAGGCTAGGGTCGCGCTTCTGACCTTACCCAGCTGCTGGGCTACCACCGAAGTCGCCCGGCACCTGATGCCTGGTGTCGACTCAGAATTAACTGCGACCTGAGATCGCCGCCGACCGGACACCACTCGCGATCCCAGCCGCTGGCTCTGCTGACCCGACACCACCGCTGCCTGCACAGCGTGACTGACCTGACACCGGCGCTGACCTGACACCGCCGACAGCCTGCCGACGCTGCCGGCGTGCAGCGCCCGAGCTGGGGCGGAGGCGCCGACGGCACCGCACCGGCTGGACAACATGTGATCACACGCTGGCCCACGCCTGCCGGCTCAGGTTGGGGCAGACCCCCCCCCCCCCTCCCTCCCCCCGCCGGTGAGTGACGACAGCTGGATATCGGCCGCACCAACCAAAGTTGGACCAGTTGCCGACGCGGTCCGGGGCCCCCGGGCTTGGTCGCTTTCCTAAATTGCCTTTATCTTCTCACTCGATAAATAAGTTGTCTTCTTAATTGTCTTCTAAATTGCCGTCTGAATTATTTTGTTATCTCAAACCTGTCACGGTAAGATAGAAAGCCATTGGATAGTTGATGCTGCCAAAAGGGCTTCCTGTGCCTTCTACCTATACAAGTCTCACGAGGTCCCTGAAATGTCCAGATAAGGCTATTAGCAGAGATCCGTGCCTGATGACGCACGCCTGCCTGCTGATGTTGTGTTCGGTATCAGCTGGCGATGCGTACTGGTGCTTTGCTCCGTCTCGGCCGGTCCGCTGTTCTGCAGCGAGCCCTGAATAACGCTCGTGTTGGCACCTGGTAACAAGCCGGACACTCGTGGCCGGATCTGGCTGAAGGGTCGGTCAGCGGCCGCCGAACAGAGACCTGATCCGGATCTGATCTGACCTGATCTGATCTGATCCAGATCCGGCGCGGATCAGATCGCGAGTGCACGCCCGTCCCCTCTGGGAAAGCGTTAGGTGCTGGGGATGAGCAATAGCCACTGCCACACTCAGGGTATGCCGCCTCGCAAGGGAATACCACGCTGGGCTAGTCACTGACACGCTCATGTTATCCATGGGCCACCGCAATTCCATATAACGAAACATGTAGATTTGCATCGGTCGAAAGCGCTTTCAGAAGAACTTGATACCAAATGAGGCAATGCAGATATTGAAGAGTCGTCCAGAACATGGTGAACGACAATTTTCCCATCACGAAGTTTCGTAACTTAACACGTTGTGGTAATGGATGTGACAGGGGAAGTTTAAGGGGAAGTTTCTCGTCCCGAAGTGCGAGTAAAGGCTGCCAGGAAAAACGTTCCTACGGTTCGGACAATTATGAGTTGCAGAACGGTGCGGCACCAACGTACCGCTTTGCATCATATGAAGGCATAACATGTCGACTAAGCATATCTGCTATCATGCTTTAACTGTCCTTCATGGCAACTATGACTTTCATATTTCACTACCAGCGCGCATGTAGCGGTACCCACGTGGAAAACAATGACCTGGCCTAATCTGACCAAACTCTTTGTGAGGCCTCTGCGCACCGTGGTCTATCGAAATCAAACATAACAAGGAAATGTGCCGCGACAAATAAATAATGCATAAATAATGCATAAAAGGGGCATTTCCATCCTGGGTTTTTGGTCCGGGTCAGAGCCAATGTCGATCTGCATTGTTTTGGTCATATCTGTGCTCCGTCGATGTATAACCATTGAGGATTCAGCACGCCGTGGCTGCGAAATATGCCCACTACGGTCTGAGCTCTCAATATGTCAATGATGATTCATGACAGTCCTTGCGATCTCTGCGCTTCCTCGTACCACATTAACATAACTAGCTTTGTGTCGTCCGAATGTTTGACTTTCTTCCGGTGTTGGGCTACAACACACGATGACACCCAGCGTCGGGTGTCATCACATTATTCAGGGCTCTCGGGTCGGGCCAACCCGAAGTCACGCCGCGGTGACATTCGGAGAAGAGGCCTTCATGGCCGGTGATGCTCTCCCTGATGGGCACCCCGTGCGTTGTTTGGTTACCACCCGCATAGCTAATGCCATGTGCGTCATAAATGTAGCTGTTATGGCGCACGCGAATACAGCTTATATCTCGAGTCCCTTTGAAATGAGACTGCATGGGATAAATAAGACGCATAACTTACACTTGCATTTCAATTAGGCATGGAGCTAGTTTGCAGAACTTTCTTGTAGTTGAAGACATTGAAACCACCAAAAACTTTAAAGGGAGTGTTACACATTTATTTCGGGGTTTTTAACTGAAATGGCCATCTTGAAGACATATCGGTGCTGTTCACAATCCCCTGCCCTTCCTAAAACCTTAGCCCCTATAGTTCCTGATCTACACGCCCGTGACAATGCGGAAAGATGTATCGTAAAGAGTATTTCAAAGTTACGTTGGCACACATGACGTCATAATAACGTCATTCAAATCTCTTTAATGTGGAACGTCTGCCCTGTTTTTGGGCCGGAATTTATTATATATCTTGCAACTTTCGGTTATGGTTCTTCTATGTACCGTGAACTCGAGTCTCAGTTTTGAGTACAAGCATGTGAACTCTTAATTGATGCGGCTTGTGCGTTATCGGCTGTTTGTCTCTTGATATCCTTGCGAGGTGTAATATGAATATGACAATTCGAAACATCCATGTGTGCTGCTTTTTATAGCCCGATCGGCGATTAATTTATTGTCTTAACGCAATTCCCAAAATCCCGCCAGGTCTGGATAACAACCACTCTAATGGCCCGGCCACTTAATGCCAGTGTTAATTCTGGCGACTTGACATGTGAAAAAGTTATATCACTATCACGCACACACAGAATAGTTCTAGAATAAAAAGGACTTTGCAGTACGCTGTATTGGTCACTGAGCAAGCGATCCAATTTTCAATAGCCTGCTTGGTGTTTTCATGCAACGGGTGTTATCTTCGGTGAAAGGCCCATACCAGAAGCGTATGTCTAATATCGCAAAGATCAGGTCATGGCTCAAAACGGTTCGGTAGGTACTGACAACCATACCTCAAAGGCGCCAATGCGTTGCTTTTGCATTCTCTTCCCGTTTGACCTGTGTTTTGGTTATGACCGAAAAATCCTCTTTAAGCACATGCTGGTGCATATTGCTTGTGATCGGGTCTCCTGTATATTTAGTTCACGCTCCCCTATAAAGATCCAGGGCCTGCATCATGCAGCGACATATTCTACAGGTTGTGAAGACCCTCTACCGACATTTAAATGAGGCCATTATGCTTTCCGGTCCAGCAGTGAGCACAAATGCAGACAGAACATCGCCTTGACGACGTGCTTGCAGCATCTGGGTATTTCCGCTCTCCAACACAATTGCCGGAAAGGTCTCATGCATCTGGCCATTGGGCCACCAGCTGCGGCACGGTGGGAGCCCTGCCCTCTGCTGGCGGCAATACATCACGCGGTCCTCTGTAATCCGGTAGCGTCTGATTAAGTGAACTTCGGGCTGAACCTTGACTTAACTCAGAATTGATTGGGTTTGTGATTAGCTTGGGTCGTGCCCACTCCGACCGAGGCGAACCCTGCCTCTCGCTGGCGTCTGCATTAATCACAGCAAACTGCAATGACTCGAGACAGAAATAGGTCATACCTTCCGCCGTCACCACCCGCTGCCGGGGATTGACGGACATTGACGGACGGAGATTGACGGACAACTGGTGGTCAGCTGCCACCAGCTGCCGGAGACTGACGGACAACTGGTGGTCAGCTGCCACCAGCTGCCGGAGACTGACGGACAACCTGGTGGTCAGCTGCCACCAGCTGCCGGAGATTGACGGACAGCTGGTGGTCAGCTGCCACCAGCTGCCGGAGACTGACGGACAGCTGGTGGTCAGTCAACGACAGGCAACACTGCTCACGCAAGCGCCAAGCTGCAACACTCATTGACGGCGCTGACAAGTCAATCGCTGTCATGTTCAGGTGCGTATGAACGCCGCAAAAAATGTGAGCAGCCATATACACTGACGCAAACGTGGTAACACAAGCATGACGAAAAGAGCTTGACGGAGTGGGCGTGCTTATGCTGAACATTACCACCGATTTTGGAAAATAATTTTCTACGCTATTTCTCCGATCCCTACCGTTTGTGGGACCTATATAAGCAGACTGTAAATACGCGAACTTCTCTTCCACATTTCGCTCTGTCTCCTGTCGCACCTTTCGGGAAGTGATGCAATACGTTTGGTTAACTTTGCAGCCACTGCGTGCGCTAAACACACGCGAACGCCTGAGGGAAATTGTGGCCTGCTTGCAGTCTTACGGGTGGAGCTCTCTTCCGATTTACAATAAAAAATCTGTAGAGTCGCCAGCAGAGCCCTTGCAGCCGACGCGTATAAAAATAATGCTCTTGGCGCAGCCGTTTGAAACCATGTGGATCCAATCACTCATTGATGGGGTTTTGTAAGTGACTCCAGTTGCTTTGCTGAGCCTCTCCTTTGTTGCTTAGCCGACGTCCGCTCCTGCACGTTCTGGCTGGTTCGTGCAGCATACCCCACGCATCCAAGGGTGTTGGGTAATGGTGTGATCTGACAGCCGTGGCGGCCGGCTGGCCAATGCTCATAGCAAACGGACTGCTTTTAGCATTTCGCCATTCAAAGATGCTCGCTTCGGCACACATGCCGCACCAGCTTATCTCGGCGGCCTCCATCTGTGTAAAACGCTGATAGCTCTGTGTTGTTTACCGGGTACTTTTCGACGCTTCGGTGTATGGATTGACTAACAGCGTGGGGATTGCATCCAACTGCAGTCATTAACCCGGTTAAGAACACCAGGGCGCGCTAGCGCCACGCCGCGCCTCGGGTGGCAAACTGATCAAATATTTGTTTGCTAGTCCTTAGCAGACGTCTCCGGAGGGGTCGACTGTCAAGCATCGGACTTACCGTCAACTAAAAACTAAACGCGATGAAGTACATTACGGGCCATTCCCACGTGCAGCGCCCCGCCAGGTGAACATCAGTAACGTAACGGAGTGACGGCACCAGTAACGGAGTAACGGTGATCAGCGAGAGACTGTTGAAAGACGGACCCGACAAGACCAAGTGAAAAACATTGAGATGCTTCTGGAAGGCTGACCGACGGCAGCGACCAGGGTCAGGCACAAGCGTGTCCGCGTAAGATGATGGGGTCGACCGCCGGAGGAACTCCTAACATCCGGCAGTGTGGCGCAGAGAACCTCGCACAGAACGTTTGACTTCGCAGATGAATCTCTCCAATACCATGGTCGTGTACTCTTATGACAGCAAAATATGAACGATCTCGATTCATTTTGGGCTGTTTTCGAGCGGGTTCTGCGCAGAATGCCAGATGGGACGAGCTAATCAGATAGAAAACGGAGCGCCACTATCAGCAGTAAACTGCAGCACGCACAAACGGCAGGCGGGCGCGGTGCAATCTAGTTCGCGCTTAGGGGTTCTGACGCCTCCATAAATACAGGAGCGCTTACCGTGTGTTGCCTTCCCTGCGCAATCTAGGCGATAATGGAGGCGGTATGCCCAAGTTGCAACTGAAAGATGCGGCTCATCTGATACACAAAACACGTGGTAAGCCTAAAAATGACTACACAAAACTAAAGTAATATGGTTCATAAAATAATCTTTTAGGCCTGGCTGCACTTATCCGCGAGTAATCCGGCCTGCGGATAATGGTGCGATGCAGGTCTCAGCTCATTCTCTCTCTCTCTCTCTCTCTCTCTCTCTCTCTCTCTCTCTCTCTCTCTCTCTCTCTCTCTCTCTCTCTCTCTCTCTCTCTCTCTCTCTCTCTCTCTCTCTCTCTCTCTCTCTCTCTCTCTCTCTCTCTCTCTCTCTCTCTCTCTCTCTCTCTCTCTCTCTCTCTCTCTCTCTCTCTATCTCTCTCTCTCTCCTCTCTCTCTCTCTCTCTCTCTCTCTCTCTCTCTCTCTCTCTCTTCTCTCTCTCTCATCTCCCTCTTTCTCTTATGCCTAAGAACTATTCTATGCGTTCTCTCTACTCCTCTCTCGTATCTCCCATCTTGCCCCCTCCTCTTTCTCTTATGCTAAGAAATATGCGACCTCGATTGCTATTTTGCACGCGCCCTAGATGGCCTGTCCCAGTGACACACCCTGGAAAGGGAGACGATAAGATATCTTCCGGCTGCTGTTCCTCACAGTAAGCTAGGGGCAACCGACCTTTCAGAGAACACTGCTGAGCCAATCATCTCTTGGATATCGCATTACGGCAGCCACAGTCGTACAAATCCCAGGTCAAACGGCTAACCTGTCAGTCCTCTATGCCAGTCTGTTAGCACTATCCAAAACATCAAAATATGAGCATTATAACGCGTCTCGCACGCCAACGTGCAACACTCGGCTAAGCAGTCAGGAGGCATGCGCAGGGCTAAATAATTGCACAACACATGCGCGACATTTTCGACATTCTGAGATTTGGGAACAAATGTGGTTTAATCGAGCCCCAGTCAATGACAGGTATATATTACTGTATGTTTGGCAAATCGAGGGAGCCGACCTTCTAGCTGGCTTCTAGGCTGGCGCATTGTCATACATTTAAATGGAAAGGTAGGCCGAGCCAGGTCTAAGCTACGTTAGCATGCTGCTCGCGATGGGGAAAGGCGGGCCCGAAGTTGCTTGATAACGATGAGCATGAGCTTAAGTTCATCTTTTTGTAGCCAAGAGCCGATATATTCGTTTTCTGGGTCAATATATAGGGTGCGGATGGTGTTTTTTTGAAAACACCAAATTAAAACGCGCTCAGTTGGGGGTTAAATTGCCCACCCCCACCCCCCGAAGTTTTTTCCAGAATGGTTTCGGAACGGCAGGGCGTGGCCTTGCCAAATTTTGCATAGCTGTAAACCATTGAATAGCGGATCGTTTGATATAAGAAATTCAGATTTTTCCTTGTAACGCCGCTGACCTATGGCAGGTCAAAGTCAGGCCATGCATTCAGCGAAGTCAATTTCTAGGGAATCGTTCAATCTGATGCAACAGCGGAGTGTTAAACGAAGCCGTACATCTCTGAAATACCTTCCTAGGCAACATAACAGTTAAGTAAACAAATTCCATGTACCTAGGGTCAGGTATGAAGGTCAGGCCAAGGTCCAAACCAACCTGCTTTATTACCCTAGGGTCTGCTATATGTGATCTGCTATAAGTTCCTGCTATAAGTTCAATTTGCTGAAGAGTTGAACAAGTACATGCGCAGATGTTGCAAGTCATTGACGAGAGGAGGTTAATTCTGTTCACTGCGGAAGGCTTGATTTTGCATCCACTTCCCATATTAACGTGACAAAGTCCTAAGAATGCACGAGATCTTGGTGCCTTTAGGTGATGCGCTACGTAGTGTGAAGCATCAATATTTCGCTTAAATGACAATAACTGTAACTGTACTTTTGCTTTTCCCTGTAATGACGGCGTGGAAAGCTTGTAAACGACTATATTGATGTCATGACCGCATCAGTAATTGGGCGGATGCTTCTTGATGTTTATGACAATGAACAAAAAAGCAGGACTCGTAGCCAAATTTTCCGGCCGTCAGCTAACCTCGTGTTCTTCTGCGAACGGCGGCGCCAGCTTCCATCGCATGAGCGGGGAGCGACGTGATCAATCCATGGCCGGACTCAGTGAGGAGCCCGCTCGCAGGGAATCCGTTCCTACGAATAACGTGTGAAGTTGAAATTGATGCAGAATACAAGCCTCCATTGGAGCGCGGCCATGCCTGGTCACGAGCGTTCGGTTGTCGGCGCGCTCTATCGGCGACCTCGCTGAACGTGCGATCCGGCTTTGCCAGCCTGCCGCCCGAGCAGTTGCCGACCGAACCAGTTGCTTTTTGCACATTATGATCTCGTCCCGTCTTGTTAGTAGGTACCTCAACAATCCTTGGCTAGTAACTGTCATATTCACTCTGGTAAGAAAACGCGGTTGTTTGGGATCCTTCTTCTTAAGTGTACGTGTTCCAGCTGACCTGGAATTCCTTGGCTTAGTGATAGCGATTGTAAGTTACCCTATTTTGAGACATGATTATGAACGTTTTTATGTCGCGCTGGTAGCGTCTGAAAACACAGCCCTGCTTATCTTTGACCGAGCCTCTAATGCTGTCCACTGCAAACAACGGGCTGCATCAATCATAACAGCTGACGTACAGAGCGGGGGAGGGGGAGGGGGCGATCTATGGTGGCTGGTCGATCTCACCCGATCTGGCTGCACGGACCCGCGGCAGATGCAGCGGCCAGACACCGCGATCGCGTCACGCAAACACGCTCTGAGCAGCGCCGCGCCTCTGCACACTGTCTCGTCCTGCTACGCCCCCGGGCGCCGCCGAGTCTCGTACACCACCGAGTCCTGCACGCCGCTGCACGCTTCCGCGCCCTGCCGCGCCCCCAGTCGCCGCCGAGTCTCGCGCACCACCGAGTCCTGCACGCCGCTGCACGCTTCCGCGCCCTGCTGCGCCTCCAGGCGCCGTCGAGTCTCGCGCACCACCGAGTCCCGCGCGCCGCCGCACTTTGTCGCCCCCTGTGCGCCCCCGGGCGCCGCCGAGTCTCGCGCGCCGCTGCACGCTACTGCGCGGGGCGCTGTAGCGCTCACCGCTTGAGCGTATAGGGCCGGTGCAGCTGGCGATAAACAGGTCCAAAGCTCAGAACCGCCGCCCAACGCGGTCAGTCCCGTTCCGACCTGTCCGCCCGATGTTTTCGGTTTAGCGATCACAAGGCACATTTGGAGTCGCCGCCGCGACTAATAATTGAACAGACACACATATTAATGAGATTAGGTTTCCTGCACGTCGACTTCGACCTCCTAATGGACTGTAAATTAGTCAATAAAGGCACATTAAGAGCTGTTTGTTCCACAGCTGCCAAACCAAAGACAATTGCCATGATGCTGGGCACATTATTTCTCGCTTTGCTGTACAACAGAAGCTTAACGTCGACGAGCTGATGTGACTTCCTGCCTTCGGCATGCTCACAATCGTGCCTGTTAAGTGCACACCAAATGTAGAGGAGCAGACATTAGGGGATAGCTTTGTTCGTAATTCATATTTATGAGCCAGTCGACAGGCCCGGTGAGTCCTATTTGAATTACGTGAAAACTAAAAACGTGAGGGTCGAGGCTCGGTAGTAAAGCTGTCTATAGGAGTTAATATCTTTGAAATCACTGACTGTTGGTTCAAGAGGCTTCTAGAAACAGGAAGTGTAATCCCGCGCAAGTTGTACAGCGTACGTTCTTCGGCATTTGCATACAATGGCATGATCAGGTGGGTTGTCTAGTGATCATTATATCACTCCACAATTTGATCCACCGATTCCCATGCATACGGATCAGGTAAAATGTTTAATTCACGAAAAGCTAAAAACACGGATCAAACCGGGCTCAAACGGCGATGGCCCGGCGTCGCAGGGACACCACACTAACTGATACAAACGGAGAAGACTACAAACAAGCATTCTGACGAAGGTGTAGGTCGATGGTGCCGACCAGCACGTGTATCGTGCGCGAATCGTGAATCGCCCGTTCTGGGGTGTTCTTAAAGGTCCATGTTAGATCTCCATGACCAGAGCAGATGATGTGAAGTCAACTGCACAGTGCAAGCAAATGTACCGGCTACATCCCGCCGGCAGATCCGATATATCTTAAAGTTCCAACCTATAGGGCGTATCAGTAGTCGATTGCAAAACAGTCAATG